TACTGGGACACAAGCCCACGAGTGGCACCTCACAGCTTCCCCAGCCAGCTTCAAGCTAGTCTTAGGAAAAGGAGAGATATCTCTACAAGGTGGCTCACTGTCTTCTGTCTCCATGTTTACCAGTAGGAATTCCACCAGGAATATGACTGAACAACACCAGCTTGGTGGCTGTTCCCTCCATTCCAGGATAAGTGTCTCTCCACATCCCACATAGCTGTTGCTGTGTGTACTGCTGCGTGTACTGCTGTTGCTCAACCTCCTATTTTCTGTCCTCTTGGCAATGATGTGGACAAAACCAGCCTATAAATCTGCTCCCTGTGAGCTCCAATGCCTGACCCTGGATCTCCAGTTTGTACTTGTAATACCTGCAACCTCTAAGTGATCTGTCATCTAGGGGTGACACGCTTTGGGCTTTGAACTTGGCATCCCAAAAATACATTCAGCTCTGTTTGACAGAGGTCTGAGGCTTTCTCTGAAACTCTATTATTGTTTTCACTGGATTTTTTTGACCTTCCAAGTCCTTTTTCTCTTTTTTTTTTTTCACTCCCTGAACAGCATGCTCAGCATCTAAAGGACAAAGTTGGCTGGGACATGCAGGCTCTGAGCAGCGTAGGAGCTGCCAGGAGAGAGGAAGGGCAGCTGTGACAGAGCACACGCGGCTACTGCCCTCAGTGAGCCCGTGTGCCCATCACTGTTGAAATAAAAGCACAGCAGGTCTCCAAAGAGTTCTCTCATGGGTCTTGCTGAACTTATAAGCTGGGACCACAGTATAACTTAATTTCCTGAAATGTCAAGTGCCTTATACTGGCTGCCTGCTCTACTGGTGTTTTTCTTACAAACACATTGTACTCCCATTTCCTGCAAAAAGTTCCTATCAGTGCTTGATGATTGCCTAATAAGAGAAATCAGTAAGGACATGGAAAGTTCACATCCTGGAGATGAATATAATGATTATAAGCTTTCTTCTGGGTTGCCAGAGGCTTTTTTTGGTTGTGGTTTGATTTATTTGTATTTTTATCCATCCAGCCGAGAACACTGATCTGAAGCTGTATTCTGCAAATGCTGAGCTCATTGGCGAGCTGTAGAAGGCCTTCACCAGCCATTAACCTCACTCCAGAAGGAAAGGGTAAAATTTCCTGGAATGATCAAGCTGGGAAAAGGTATAATAAATTGGGAATAGTCACAATTTGGAGGGCATAGATGTCACTCTCATGGATTTTATTACCTGTCTTCTGATAGACTGTGGGTTTTGTTTGATTTTGCAATAGAAGAGGGCTTGTATAATCGTAGTGTGGGTGTGAGCCCTTTTGAAGGTGACTGTAAGGCTTGCAGGCAAGCTTGAAGGATCCCAAATGGATTTGTTATTTTTTATATCCCAGTTTCTAGACAAGTCTTTCTGTAACTTCTTAGATGTGATTTCTGAGTCCTCTTGGCTCTTTATTGAAGATCAGTCTTTTATCATTCTTGTGTGAATTAACACTCTTTTAGACCTGGAGATACTGGGTTTATAGGGAACCTAGTAGAAAATAAAAAAAGCTATTTCTTCATGATAATTTTCATGACTAACTGTAATGCTCCTCTGCCTAGAGCTTTCCCTCTTCAACAGGCTGTGCAGTCTATCAGCTAACTGTATAGGGTAGGTAAGTGATAGGTAAATAAAAGTCCCTGCCATTCGTAGGGCATTGAACTTCTCCTAAGCCCTTGGTTTTCCCAGTTGGCACCGAGTCTCTGAGGAGACCTGGGAAAAAAGTATGGTGCTGAGCAGGGGGCTACTGAGAGCCACCCACCCACTGGGAAATATTTGGCAGAGGGACTAACTGGCAATATAGACTGGCTGAACATCTGCCTGAAAGGAAAATCTTCTCTTGTGACTGTTTGCTTTCCAAATGTCTCTTGCAATCTGTGTCCTCTCCCAGCTGTGCTTCACAGTTCTCATCTCTCTTCCTTATGCAAGACCTTGGTCTCCAAGGGTCTGATGGAGGAAAGAACTAGACAGTGATTGTAAGGGAGAGCCTTGCTTGATTAGGTGTCAGGAACGTATAGAAAATAATGCATTTTTTATGCCACTCCCTATATTTTAGAGCCTGAGGGCCAATAGCAGAGAAACTGGTCCAGCAAAGATGGAAAAATAATTTAAAAAAAAGGCATTTTAGTACTAAAATACAATCAGCCCTGGTCTGCCATTGAGGAGTGCACTAGCTTTTTTTTAAAAGGAGCAAATAATATTTTCTCATCACACCGCACACCTAGGCACATTCCTTTGTTCGGCTCCTTCCCATCTCAGTATGTTACATATCCCATATGCAGGGGTAATCATCTGATTACACATTAATGTCTTGGTTCCCTAAATACTGGAAAATATGAAGGCACTGAGGTAAATAAACCTTGGTATAGGGTACTGCCTGTTGCAGAGAGCGGATTCATTAATTTTTTGTTGTTGGATCCTCGTGTCATCCCTTTGTGTGGATATGTGCAAGCTGCCTGGCTGTAGAAAGCACTAATGTCTAATCACATTCTGCAGAAGGAAATTTGAGATGATTAAAAAAAAAGATTCTCTTTGGTTTTTTGTTTGTTTGTTTGTTTGTTTGTTTTTTGTGGTTTTTTGTGTTTGGTGTGGTTTTTTTGTTTTTTTGAGGGGTATAATTACAAGCAGGCACTCATAGGTGTTATGAAAGAAAAAATATCAGTCTTTCATTTTGGACACAAGAGTTATGTGACTGTGCCACTGTTTGCAGTTGCCCTCTGGCTGTTCAGCGCTTTTTTGACTCAAGGGGGACGCTGTCATATGGGGCAAAGGATGCAGCGGCTGGTGGTTTCTTGCCTGGCCAATGTGAAGGCAATGGGGTGTAACTCCATGTACTTCCTCACTAATATGGCCATTACTTGCCATTAATCTGGCCACTCTCACTACCCAAATTTCTGTTACAACTTCAGGACAGACTACCCGAAGTGAGGAAAGAGAGAATTTTTGCACTTCACAGATAAATCATCGCATTGGAGGTCTAGCCACACCGGCATCCTCTGACCCAACTGATCTGGAAGTGGCTTTCAGTGCAAGAGGCCAAGTGGGGTCACCCACGAGCATTGCAAGAGGCTCCGCTGTCTCCTCAGCCCAAGGGGCCAAGATATTTAGACAGCTGCCTCACAATGAATGGGACTCTCTGGCAAAAGAATTAAGCAAAGATTAAAATCAGTTTTAGCTGTTAAATGTGTGCTTTGCACAGCATTTAGCAACTAAAAGGCTAATTATCTTTGAACTTATGCACGTGGTTTTAGATGTGATCCACACAAGTTGCTATTTTTTCTGTTGTCTACAAGAAGCTGAAAATCAGGATAAAAATGAGATGCTGGTGTCAGTAAGGGCACAGCTTTTTGAGTAGGCTGGAGGCGGTGCCTGGTCTGCAGGGAAGTAAGGTGCCTACTAAATGAGAATAGGTCAAAAAAATTATTCTAACACTTGTCATTTAGACTCTCCTATTTAATGGAAGTTCATGCTCTTGATTAAGGAAATGCAAGTGTGCATGAAGGTAGGGAAATGAGACTACTCTGAGAGAAAGCCAAGCTCATACCTGGAGGGAAAACTTCATCTGGATGTTGATGCTTGCAGGGCACAGAGAATGAAATCTGAGAGGTGAGGAGCACTGCAAGACCTACGTAAGTCAGTGCAGAGCACATCAGATTGAGTTTCAAAAAGTTCTGCAGAAAGATAAGAAGATAAGGAAGAGTTTGGTGCTAAGTTGCAATATAATTGGGAGTTCCTGTGCAGCCTGGGTGCTTTGGAAAGTTGCACTGGGCTCAAGATACCCATGTCAGTGAAAATAGACAATGCGAGGAGGTAACATGGTTGATACAATGCTGGTTCCATTCAAAAACCCTTTAGGGAAGCAAGTGAGCATTGCCAAATTGCGATCAAAAATTCTAGATCTTCTCATCCAGCACAAGTCAAATCATGACACAAGACAAACTTTTTTCAGTTTTTTTTAACTTCAACTTTTTTAACCTTTAGATTACCCTTAAATTTTATTTCAAGCTTCTTTCTTAAGCATAAATCATAAAGTTGTTACAGAGTTGGGTCCAGGTATCAAAAGTAACTTTATCATACAGTCACTGAAGGAGGACTGATTGGAAGCCTTGTCAACTCTTTCTTGTGTGACCTTTTACACAGTTGAAGATGTCCCTCTCTTGCTCCCTTTTAACCAGCTCTCCCCTTGCCTAAACACCCCAGCTCATGTGCTTGCTGGAGATCCTGTATCCCAACCTTCTGCTTTTCCACAGGCTCTGCAATCTGTCCACATCTTTGTTGAAGGGTGAATCTGAGGCTAGAGGCAGTCCACCAGTCAAGACCTTACCCATGTTGAGGAGGAAGGAAGGATGCCTCTACAATCACAGTACGTTGTACTGATTTTTACTAAACTTCCCCAGTTTTTGCAGATTATCAAGATCATTTTGAATTCTGATCTTCTGTTCCATATAATGTCAGCTTTTCTCAGCTTTTTTTGCCTGCAGGAGTAGTATACATATTGTCAATTAATTAATTTGATTTTCTTTGTGAAACTATTGAATGGAACTAATGTCTAAGAATAGGCTGTCAAGCAGAACACCCAAGATGATGTGACTTATGACATGATTATCAGATATACCAGCTACAACACTTTTGCCCTGTCTAGGAGAGGATTATTAGTTATTTTTCACCTATTCTTTCTGTGTTTCATGATTCTCTGTGTTGCAAAGCATCTTGTGGAAATTGATAGATAGTGGTTATGGAGCTGTCTTGGGTCCAGAGTTCAGACCTTCTGATATCAGCTCAGGGGCAGAATCACAGTCTGATGCTTCGTGAACTTCTGCAGCTTGTCAGACCTCTGTTTTGTGAGGTGTAAAGTGTGGGTCAAAAAGGTTGATTCTGTATGCAGTGAAGGTTTCTGCATTGCTGTCAGAGAACCAATGCTATGAAAAGGACAGATTCAGGAAAAAGTCAGTGAGAACTTTTTGCTTCAGTGTTGGGCCAGACCTGAATTGTAGGACAATAACACTTTGTGACTTATGAAGTGTAAGGTATGGATTATACATTTGAGAAACTCATTAAGGATAGCAACATGCCTTAACAAAAGACAGATCTTTAGCTCAGGTAGCTTTGATTTGAAGATATCAAGGGAAAAATAATTTCTTTTAACGATGCAAATGGATTATGAAGTGATGATGAGAAGATGAATATGCTACTCGGAGTAGAGGTGAGCAGCAAAGCCTTGGTGTGGCAAGGTTCACAAAAGGCATCTTTGAATGACAAGCACCAGCTTGGGCAAGAGGTTTTCACTCCAAGCCAGCCAGGAGAGGTTAGAGATCTGCACAGTACATGTTCCTGATTACTCCACTACTCTGTTCTTATTTCCATGGCTCTGTTGGTTACCTACCACCTTGGAGAGGTGCTGCAGGCACTTTCTAGTGGGCTAATGTCATTGGTCAGAGATCTCTGTGTGTGTAAAATCTGGGAGAGATCTATACCATCCCTTCACAACTGATGTTTGTAGATGATGGGTGAGGCAGTGAAGTCCCAGAGAGCTACAGTGCCTTGGGCTGCAATCTCATAAATTAAGCAGGGTTGGGCCTGTTTGTGTTTGGAAGGGGACTTAGAAGAAGTTGATTGCTACAGTCAATTTGACTTGGTAATTCAGAAGGTGGTGCTCTTCCCCCTGGGTAGCACAGGCTGACATGCCAGGATGATTAGGCTCACCGCAGCTCCTAACCTTTTGGAAAAAATGTAAACCCAACATCCTCACCTTTCCAGAACCAACATCACGGGACTCCTGCTATTTACACCACACTCCCAACCAAATTCCACCTCAAAGCAACCACGCCCTGCAGATGGAGATCCACCCTGCCCTTCCAGGAGGATGCAGTAAACTTTGCTTTCCCTGCTGGGTACATTGTACCTCCAGCTGAATGGCTGCAGTGCTCAGTACAGATGGCAGCAGTATTACTTGGACAGGTAGCAAATGTCCTTTCAATTAACCTGTGCAAGTGTTCTCAGTATAAAAGGACTGTTTAAATAGGTGTTTTCCCACCAGTAGGGATTTTTGGAAGTCTTGGTGGTACCTGTTTTGAGCAATGGTTTCCCTGTGCTGAATGCAGGGTAGCAGCTGGAGCCTCCTTCTGTTTTGCCTTTGGCTCTTCCTATTGCAGCACAGTGCCAGGCTCTTACAGCACAGGCACACTCTGCTGCCCACTGCCCTCTTAGAGGGACAAAAAATATTTGCTTAGCTGTTTTGCACATCTCTTAATAAGTCAGTATGGCTACTTGGGCCAAATTCTGGAGTGATGCAAGTTATTTAACAGCATGTAGGTTTAAAGTGCAGCAATTTTCTGTGCTGAGTGGGTGGTAAGGTAGGAGTACAGCAGGAAAAGCAGCAAAGAGGATGTCATTAGATAATATGCTCTCTGTGTGAAGGGCTGCTGGGAATGGAGCTCTGGTTGCTTTGGCCATGTCTAAAGGCAGATTTGTTCAGTATTTGTTTGTTTTTAAAGCCGTGAATGTGCTTGTGTGCATTCTTCTCTTTTGGTTTAGCTTAAACCTTTTCTAATCCTGTTAGCAGAGATAAACCTCCCTGAACCACAAGTAAGTGTCTGCACGGGAGTTTGCACGAGCTGAATTAAATCTGTGCAGGGTGCCCTTGTGTGGGTAAACACAACCTCATGTTGGCACTTTCCTTCCAGCATCCTCGCCTTTCCTGGTCGTGCTGCTCCTGCTCTCCCCTCTTGGCAGGGGAGGTCACATTGAAGCTTCTCGTTCTAAGTTTCCACAGGAAAATAAGCACCTACCCCCCTTCACCATCACAGTGACTGTGCAGGAAAAGGACTGAGTGAACTGAAACCAGGCTCTCTGTTTGGGGTCTGTCACTGAAGAGTGTGCCATCAGGACCAAGTCCCTGACCTAGTGACATGGACAAGGGGGGTTGCTCCCTATATTAGCCCCACTGATGTCTGCTGTCCTGGCAGAGCACAGTGGGAGAGGCAGGCAGCTGGGCTTAGCTTGGGCTTTTGCATATTCTTTACCATGCGTGTCCTGTCTTGACAGTATTTATGCAAATTTTTAAGTAGAGGAAAAAGCTGTCACGTAAAACAAAAAATTCATCTGAAGGCCAAATATGTAGGTTGGTTGGCCTGTGTGTTTTCTTTTTTTTTTTTTTTCAATTAAAAATAAAGTAACCTATAAAACAATGATCTAGTTTAATATCCTCATTACATGTTCCAGGCAGCATCTGAGTCATGCCATTTGCACTGTGCTTTGTTCCCCTGCGGGGGATGTAGAAGTTCCATTTTTGGAATACTCCTTGGTCCACCCCAGTCAGATATGCCAGGTGAGAGTGCCAGGGTACAGGGTTGTGGGTAGTGAAAGTGAATTCTCTCAGGATAAAATTATTGTCAGGACAGGACCCAGAGGTTGCTATTTAAGGTAAAGGGGTCTTCTGGCTTGCCTGGGCCATTTCAACAGGGTATTTTTGCAGAGATAATTAGTAAGATGATTGCTGGTTAATGCCAACTGTGATAATGGGTTTTGTGACGCAGATTCTCATTTGCTAAGAGCCAGAGTAAACCAGACTTGCCTTCTGGGATCTGCATACCACAACAGTCCAGAGATCACAATTATGAAGACTATTTTTCCTCAAGACTCAAGGTCACAGTTGAGGTACAGCAATCTAATAATTTTTGCTCACAGCCCCTGTTATGAGCCAAGATGCCAAACTGCCTTTCACATAACTAAGAGCGTGTACACCAGATGTTGCCACTACCCAGCTCATGTACAAATGTCTTCATCTGTGGGACAGCACTTGTGAGCCTTTTCCAGCATTACAGGATCATGGAAAACAAGGCTGAACATTGTCTTCACTTTAGAGCATTTGGTACCCAATAGGAAGGAGCTGGATACAGGGGCTCCCCTTTAGGCTATAGATCTCCCACCTGCTCTCTCATAACCTCCCAGTGTTGTGAGCTTCAGGGACTTGGCAGATGTCAGCCCTTTTTCCACTAGAATTGCAGTTTTCTCCTTGGGCTGTGTCTAAATTTCCTTGGCATAGAAGGAAGATATGACGTTACCAGCACTCCAGGGAATGCAGTACCATACAATTATTACTTTTCAGATATGTTATACAGATACACTTGGAGGCCTCCATTCTTTCCTTCCTTCAAAATACATGGCCTGAGTTGTTGCATTTGGAAACTGTGGGTCTCTGACTATAATGGTTTGCCTGCTCAGGGGAGGTGACAGCCTGCAGTAAATGTACCTACACTGCCAGAAATCTCAGCATCCCAGCCCATTTCTGTGTCTGGTGTCAAGGTGAACCAGCTAGACCCCACCAAAAGAAAACCTGCAGGACTGCTCCCAGAAGGCAGCACAGAACTGTGGCATTTGGCTTCCATCTGCCCCTTCCAGTTCTTCCACGCCATCTCAGACCTTGTGCTCTTTGGCTGTGCCCTGCCACCACCCCCTCCTTCTGCAGGACATGCAATACAGCCCTCAGTGTCAGGCAGTAAAATCATTGCCTTCCTGGGCTGCCACACGACTCAAATTATTTTAGACATGTTGACCTCAAGCACACACAGAAGGAATTATTATGTCTTATGGCTATAAGGCCAAGTGCCACACATTGTGGGCATGGTCGCTCTGCTCTAGAGCCAAGATAGCCCTGGGCGGTGTCAGCATGAGATGTTCCATACTACCTGTCCTGGGAGGCTTGAAATCATTCCCTGGGGTGGATGCCAGTAGAGATCTAGATATAACCTTTAGCTCCTAACTAAAGAAATTACTTTTCCCAGTGCAGGGGTATACCTGTGTGCCATTAGTATTAGAAATCGTAGGTTCCAGACCTTGATGAGGCTACTGTTAACATTTCCTAAAATATTGTCTTTTTGATCTTTTTTCATGAAAGTTGACAGCCAAAATTTCTGTTTAATGCCTAAAAATTTTTCTTGCCCTGATTTACCTTCTTCCTCTCCAAAACTATTTGCACACTATGAAATCATATCCACACACATAAGAAAATGACTTCTGGAAGTCCGGATACTTTCCTAGAGCATTTAATAGCACTGAGGACATGAAATACAGTACTGAGTCCTCTGGGAAACCTACAATTAGTGGGATGAAAATACTTTCTGTAAATGATTGAGCTCTTGAAACAGTGTGAGTAATTGAAATGCTGTACAGGACAGAGCTGAAAATCCTTACAGGATTATCAGTGAGGCATTGTATAAAAGATGTCCTTGAGTTGGACAGTGGCAGCAACACTGAGTGCAGGCATTACTCAGAGCTCCTGCTGGGAATGGAAGGTGGCAGAAACGATGTGCAGTACCTGGTTAGTCTTGTGTTTTCCTCCATTTTTATCCTCACTGTTACAGCTGAGAGGAGCTCTTCATAGCTTATTTATTTCATCCCAGGAGGACTATAGATTGATTGGTTGTTGGGGAGTTTTCTGTTTGTTAGATTTTTTTGTGGTTTGTTTTTTAAACCAGACTGTAATGATGGTTGAGAGTCCAGAGCCAGGAAAGGGACAACTTTGAAAATACGTTCTCTGTACACCTACACGTGTGGTGGTCTTAGTGCATAAGTTCACCTGATCTTATCTGGGGATCGGGACCAAAGAGCTTCCTACAGACCTGGTTAAACATTTAATGCCTCTTTCCAGTTTCCATGCCTTGTTTCCAAAGGCATTTCATTACCTGAGGGTGCCTACAGAGCTTTCACAGGGCCTTAGCTCACTGGATGTCAAATGTGATGGGACTGAATTGTAAAACTTTATTGGAATTCTTGAAAATTTCCACTAGGAGTCCATTTATCATGAACCTAAAATCCTTATGAAGTGTAACCCGGGTGTATTTTTTGTTTGTTTGTTTTTCTACCTGGCAGGAAAGGCTTCCTGGAGGTGCACTTCCCAGCATGGCAAGTCCTACAGAGCATGCACAGAACAGCTTCAGAAATGGCAAAGGCTGCAAGGTACTTACACATTATGATAACCAGTTGGACAGGACTGAAAAGGACAGTGACACATTATGCAAGTGAGCAGTGTTTAATTTACTTTGTGAAGATGTTCATTGTTTTGGGCTCATGAGTGGAAGTTTACTATGATAAATTTGTTGAAGGGAAAGGTCACATTTTCGTTTCCTGGGTGAAAAGTGAGGTCAGACAAATACGTAAATACAGTTACAAACACAGTTAGCAGATGACTGCATCTTATCTGATGTGGAGTGGCACGAGTGAGCTGATGGGTGTAGGCTGGGGAACGGATGTGAAAGGGGAAATGCTTTGCACACAGTAGGTCTGGAGTGAATTTGAACTTTGCAGGGAAGACAGGAGTGAGAGAAAGGGAAGAAGAAAGGAAAAAAGAAATTTTTCTTGGTTGGGTGAAGGTGATGGGACTAGAGGGAACAGGAGTGAAGGGGTGTTTGTGAGACCTGAGCCATGCACATGGGCAGGGGGAAGATAATTTGGGTACAGAACAGGTTAAACAAGGACACACTGCAAG